GTAAAACAGATTTAATCACCAAAGATGACAGTTATTGTTAAGAACATAATTACTTGTGTGTTACCACTTAATAGCATCTATAGACATGGAACTCAAAAGCAAATTAATTTGCATTTGACAACCTATAGGGCTCCTCATCTATTATGTAGCTATGACTTTAAAACCTTGTTTGTTTCCTGAAACGAGATATAAGGCCTTTTCCTGCGGTAACAGTGGAGTCACTTCCAAGCTCCTTGAAGACTCCAATTTATGTTTACTAAGCAAACATCTGTAGCTTCTGAAGAGTTAATGGATGCTTGTTACCACTTCTGCTGGAAATTTCCAACCTTGCAGCAAAACCAACAGGACACAGCACAGACCCATACCTCCTCTACTCCACCCTGCAGTAGCATATCTTCAGGTAAATCTCTTTGTGTCAGGGGTTTAAGCAAAACAGCATATTAAAATGGATGAGACAGCTCACTCTGCTCTGAGGATGACACTTTTGGCAGTAAGTAAAAAAGGAGACAGGTAACTTTAGAATAATCACAACAAGAGTCATTGGAAAGTAACAAAGCAGAACCCTAAGAAAAGCTGCATTGATTTGAAGATATGTCTGGACTAATCTACTAGTTAGAAATATTTTAGTTCTTTTTTTTCTTTTCCTTCCTGAGGAAGCAATTAAAAACAAGCAGCTGGGCAATATCCCCACAGCAGACAAATTTGGAGTTACTCAAGCAGCAGTTTTTCTGAATTGGCTACAATGTCACACGAATTCCACCATTCATGCCAGAAGAAGGAACAATACATAAAAATGGATAGCAGCTCTGGTTTGGTTGGGTTTTTTTTTTTTGCCATACAGGCAGAAGTGAACTTTTATACTGTGATGAAGTAGACAGCCACTCAGATAGATAAAACAATTAAGAACTGCAGTCGTTGTATTACTGTTAGAATTGAAATACACTAATATGATGAATACATCAAAAGAGAGCTGTGTCCTGCTGTCTCCGGTACGGCTTTCTCTGAACTACTTTTCAAAGCATTTGGTTTAAATTGCGTTCCGGTGTAACAGGCATAGAGCAATCAGTGAAGTATATGCTGTTTTAGAGACAGAGAAGCAAGAAAGAAGAATGATGTTCCACACACAAAAAGGAATGAAAACACTCTAGCAAGATCACTTCCAGGTTTCAACTTAAATGTGGGCTTTAAATGCACTGTTACCTTATTTACTTATTTTTTTTTGTCGAAAGCATACATTCTCAGAACATTTAGCAAGCAGGCACACTACATGCTTTAACATAGCAACTGATACAAGTTATGGGTAAAATCATGGATCTGAAGCCATGGAGTTTACACTCAGTTCAACTTGCACTAGGATTTCATTTCCAAGCATTTGTAAAAACAGATTAGTGAGAAAAGAGCTCACCTGACAGATTATCGAAACTTTTAACCTTCAGGAACTGCACAAGTCCCTGTTATCAGCTGTAAGAGAAATGCAAAAATACCCCAGATGGTCCAAAGTATCACAAGTGTCATCAAAGCATTAGCACCTCAAGATTTAGAGTCCCAAACAGATGCCTTCACATTCTAAATGACTGACTTGAACAGGAGTAATTTCATTAGGATGTAAGTGGCTTTGAACGTTATCTCCAGCCTTTGAGTCCAAAATTATGGCACTTAAAACCGCCATCAATTTTGGCTGCTGATGAAAGGAGCAGTTCTACAGATCTGTTATTCCTGACTTCTTCCTGGCACTTCCATTGGGCCAGCATCAGACACACGAGTTGGATGCAAGGTTCTGCCACAGCTCACCACTGAATCTCAGAGCTGTTGAGCTTCCAAAGCTCCCACAGACTTCAACTGGCAGAGTGGATGCTGAAAGCTTTGAAAGGGATCTTGGTACCCAGAGTCTCTATTTGCACCAGAACAGTTTCCCCCCTCCATATAGGTCAGGCAAAGATAAAATCATTAATGTTTGGATAAGGGCAAGATCAGCACACTAACAGCTGTGCTGTGGGAGATGCTGTCAAACACTGATGAAACCCATGGGATTGCCTGAGGTAAGTTTTGAAGAAAATCATCCAGCTAGCTTTAGTAGTTAAACACTGACAGTTTAAATGGTGAAACTATAAATTGGTTTGTTGCTAACACTGTTGATCTTAGCACATAAATAATATTCAAATATCTTTCACTACTGTGGAGATAGTAGCCTTCTGTTAGAGGAAACTGATGTCTTACGTCAGTCAACTAAATTGCTGCGGAGACTGAATTTGTTTTGCCTGTTTCACCTTTTCATTCAAATGATCACTTCAACTTCTGCGCCCTCCCCATCGCCAGCTGAATGCTTCACCTTCTTACTTTTGCATCAGCTGTTAGCAGCAGCAATCGATCCGTCCAGTTCTATTTACATTAGTCTAAGTACCAGATGCGTTTGTGCTGTATCAGAGAAAAATAAGTTTTGTGAATGCTGTAATCTGTGATGTAACACTGCTCTTTGACAAACAAGCTGTTGGTGCTTAGTTTCAAACACCACTGCATAAAAGCCTTCCTCCCTTTCTAGGGTTGCCATAACAACAAGCAGAGCACTGTCATTTTGCTAAGTAATGACAATGACAAATATGTAAGAAATGCAAAGGTCTGGGGAACTGGGAGCAAGATTACAGCTTCTCTTCCTGCCTTTACAAAACATTTTACTGTGGATTCATCTTGCAAATCCTAAGCTGTTCCTATGGGAACATGAGAAATAGCTAGTGTTAGTGCTCCGTGTTGCCTCATTTTTCAGAAAGCCAGTGTTCCTCTTGTGGATGCTTCGTCAAGACACAGCATGGCATTATAATCAAGAGTATAGGATATGATCTTGAGCTCACAAATGCCTGCAAAAATCTGGAATGAATCCTAATTTTACAATGTAATAAAGTAATAATGCCGTCAGACCTTTTTCTCTTGAGTGGTTAAGAAGGTTTGCAGCAAAGATGCCATTTTATGAAATGAATGAAATCATGGACAGGTGACCCAAAAAGAAGTCAGGAAACTATTATCTGAATAATTCTTCTGCTAACCATGAGAATGGAAAGTATTTTCTTCTTAATGAAATCAAGAATAACACCTAGGACACCAACCAGAAAGATGAAGACTAACATTCTTACAACTTCATCATTAAAGCTGTTTTTTCAGGTGATTTTTGTTTGGCATCACTCAACCTCTGATTTAACAGAAGAATTAATGTTATTTATTTTTTTCCCTGTTGGGGGAAAGGCAGCTTTTTAGTGTACATAGCCAAAACACCATTCTCCTTTTTACGCACTTTCAAAGTCTAAGTCTATTTACTGCGAGGATGGTAAGACACTGGAACGGGTTGCCCAGAAAAGTCGTGGATGCCACATCCCTGGAAGTGTCCAAGGCCAGGCTGGATGGGGCTTTGAGCAACATGGTCTAGTGGGAGGTGTCCCTGCCCATGGCAGCGGGGTTGGAATCAGATGATCTTTAAGGTCCCTTCCAACCTAAACCATTTTATGATTCTATTCTCTTTTCTTGCCTGCTACTTAGAACAGTTACATTTTCCCTCCTTCTGTTGCATCTATTAATCAAAAATAAAATGACTGAAACCACAAGTTTTATCCTAAATGCATGGAAAACAAGAGTCATGCCTCGCACTTCTAACTTTCTTCTAAAACCATCACATGCACGGTGGCTGTTCCACAACTTCAGTCTCCAGAAATGATGATCATGACTCTGTTCCCAGCTAGACACTGGTAGTCATACACTTCCTTGACATAAGTACAAAACGCCTCTCCAGCCAGCCTGTACTCTTCCCTTCTTCCAGGCTTGGTACAGCTTCTGCAGTGTTCCTGGAATCTGTCAGTCCAAGAAAATATGGACTTGAACTCATGGTGAGTTAATTTCCTCTCCTGCAGGATCTTCTGTTGCCTTATTTCACTGCTTTTATAAGCTCCCCTGAGATCTCTATGTTCATACACACCAATCTTAACAGTTTAGGGCTTTAAGGGACTTTCTACATCTGCCTTGGGGTTTTTATGCCAATACACAGGAGAAACAATAACAAATCAGAACTTCGCATAATGATATAATCCACAAACTGTGAAGAAATCACATTTGTTAACAATCATTAATACTGATTTACTGTGACAACTACACAGTAACTATGCTTTTCTTTTCATAAAGCTGAGATGTTTAATGATAAATGAGGTTAAAAAAAAAAGATTAAAAATCATAGCTAGTCCTTTCTATGACACAGACCCTGGATTACAATGGGGCTTGTAAGTCAAATCAGGACATACTTGAATATTAAGAGGGAAAAACCTATTGCTAAAAAATTTAATGACAGTCCAACACCCACCTGTGTCTTAAAATACCTAAAACTGCATTAAAAAGATCAACCCCAAGTGCTTAATGGAATCAAACAAGGTTTATGAAAGGGATGTAGATGTAGTAATTAATCTGTCCGTATGAAACAATTATTTTCACTTATTAGAAAAAACTGAAGTTGTGTAACAAGCATATGGTTGCATGACAAGGCAAGACAAAAAGACAAAATAAGTAGGCACTGCTGAGATGGACAGAGTATCCCAGTATGTTTGATCACAAATTTCCCTAAATGCAACAAACATTGCTGCTTCTCTAGATGACTAGATTTCCACTACAGAACTGCAGGCACTCAAATACATTAGTCAGATTAGATGATGAGAGATAAGATGTCCCATCTTCCCTAGAGAGAATTGTGATACATTCTGGAGGTGATGTTTAGCGTATAACATCAAGTCTTTTATCATTATTTTAGTAATCACGTAATACATCCAGCAGGCAGGTTCTGAGATTTATATAGCCTTGAAACGTCCCGAGTCTCAAAATCCAAGCAATTTCATAGTGATCTTGACATAATAGAAAACCAAAAATTTCATATACACACATAAACCCTGTGAAGACAGGTAGACATAACTCACACAGGATCATACACCTGCAAAGAGTAACCACCGTAACGGTTAAAAAAAATTCCTTCTTACCTGCTGTTGCTTCAGAACTGATGCTATCTTTAACTACGCAGGCTGGACTTAGGGGCAAAACGTCATCATCAAAACTGATCAGATCTCCTTCCACATCGAGTTTATTTTGCAAAGCAGGTGCCGAGGAGTTGGCTGCAGGTGACAATTCCCCCAGAGACTTGAAAACTTTTTCTTGGGCAGGTACAGAAGCCCATGGGGAAACAGCAATCGGTTTTAGTGGGGCCAAAGAAAGGGCAGGATTTTCTGCATAACGTGACTTTTTAGGAATGAGAGGCCTTGGAGCAGGAACTGGAAATTTCTTTTGTCCGTCACTGTTCTTTGATCCACTCCTTGCATCAAGAAAATCACTACTACTACTTTTAACAAGGCCAGGTTTTGGTTTCTTTGGCAGTTCAGGTTTGGTTACAACACTGCTCCCAACTACTTCAGGTTGAGGCTGCAATTCCTTGGAAGGTGTTGATTTGCTTTCTGTCCATGCATCCCAGTCTCCTGAAATTCTGCTTACCTCTGGCTTAGGAGCAACTACCGGTTTCTTTGCAGTAACAGGTCTTGGGGTGAACGAACGAGGGGCAATTTCTGGCTTTTTTAATAATCCTGAGGTATCATTAGTTCCTTGGGATTCAAAAACTTTGATCCTTGAAACAATACTGTTTTGGCTCTTTTCTGTGCTCATGCTGTCCATCGCCAAGTGATTGTCTAGTAAGCTATCATCTAAGAGAGGTGACTGCTGAATTGGAGGTTGCTGCCCGTTTGTGGTAGACTGGTTCACTACTTCTCCATCGTCTATCTTACTTTCAGTATTATTGACCACAGGTCTGAGATTGCTTCTTGATCTTGGCTTTGGCACAGGACATATCACAGGACTGGGATTTTCTTGGCACCTCTGACCTTCAGAAATTTCAAAGACTATTAAGGGATTCTCATTTTCTGAAGGAGACCTATTCAGGAGAGATGCAGAAGGCCTAGGAGGTTTAAGAGGACTCTGCCCTGCTAACAGAAAAGAAAAGGTTTCAGTTATCTATTCCGGAACACTTTATTTATGTTATTTTTTGTCAGCCATCAGGATGGTAAACATGACACTTTTCATTCAGAACTTACTGCTGCTCATGAAGCTGCAGTTCTTTTTCTAAAAAGATGAATGAAAAAATATACAAACTCTAGGAAGAAGGTGAAGATTGCTGAAATGCACGGTATCTACGCGTTGTGAGTTCAAAACTACTTGTTAGCTTGCAGCATGAGGAGCGTGCAAGCAACACCTAGACAAAAGAACAGTAAATAACTTCCTCAGCTTGGTTTGCACACTTCTCAGTCTTAATGTGAAACACTGCTTCTATTCTGATTGGACATTTGAGCTCCTCTGGCCCAAAAGCAATTGCCATTATGGCTGAATCGAGCAAGACGTTCAAAATTTAATTATAGTCTAACCATGAATGCAATGGTAGTTCTTCAGAATAGAGGATTTTTACAGAAATTTGCAGAAGTAATCATTCACAGAAATTTAACTGTTATTCATATTAAATGCTGCACAGACTGATAATAAAGAACATCTTCAGGAGACAGAATAAGGTTTTCATCAATGAGAAATCCAAACCATCCTCACCTGGACAGCCTGCAGATTCCCAGTGTGTAGGCACACTAGTTTTTACATTACTTCTTGGCAAATGGCCAGTTACTTCCTCTGGAAAGTCAGTTTGTGTTGCAGAAGTAGTGGTATGTCTAGGAGCAGCAGCATTATTGTTATTTGTTGTATTGACTTGCACTTGATTGATTTCTTTTATCACCTGCTCATATGATGGTGGAAGCTAAAAAAGAGAGCGATAAATATTAATGTACATCCAGATATGATCCTTTTAAAGAAAGAGAGACATATAAATTTAAAAATACTAAATTAATGTCTGCAGACGAAAAGAACACTGTCATAGTCTTTTACTCAATGTGATGAAAGTCTAAGCAAGCAAAAAACTGTTCCTTTCTAACTTAAAGTGCTTTTTAGCTTTGTAATTGAAACACACCTCATGTAAACTCACGCTCACCTCAGCTGGAATATGCTCATTTCTCCTCCACTGAGCATGAGATGACGCAGAAGGGAATCCTAATCCCTGAGGAGTGACAGGGCTTGCACCTGGAAACCAGGAGGATGGCCGGAGGGTTTCAGCAGCAACTATTGTAATTTCAGGACGCCTGGAAATGAAGCCAAAGGGGAATAATTATCTAAAACTTTTTAAAATAGTTCTTTAAAGTACAGAAGACCAAGATTTTCTCGGCATGGGAAATCAAGATAGCTCAGGTCTTTTTGATTTAACCAAAGGTGTTTTTCCATGATTTCAAAGTAACTTACTTGACCTTTCTAACAAGCACTTAGGCGTCCATTCAAAGCACCTAATTAAATGCCTAAGCCAGAAAGTAGGTTTATTGGCTCCAGTGAAATAATTTACATGCTTAAAGTACTTAAACACAAGTGTAACTCTATTAGATGGAAGAAGTCTTAGTCTTTGGGGATAATGAGAACTAATCATGTGTTTGCCCTTAACCTGCTACAATGTGAAAACAGTAGGATAGTTAAAACTGCTTCTGGCTGGCTAACTGAAAGCTTGTCTACCCTCAGACCTCTCGGGAAACCTCCTGCTGTGCTTAAGTGGGGCAGATCAAGCCTCACAAGGCCTTTGGGAGAGGGCCTATTTGCTTACAGCATCTAGTACAACAGGGACTTCCGTGACAGTTAAGGATCCGTAGGTCTGCCCCTGCTTTATCGCTGTAACAACTGCTTTAGAGCATAAGCTGCAGCGATAGCCCACGTTCTCAGACCGTGGCCCCAGAGTACAACTGATCAATCTAGAGTCTCACACAAAATAGACCTTGAGAAGTGAGTTTTGTGAGTAGACAAAGCATCTGCTACAGAAGCCTCTGTCTGCTGACAGAAAAAAAACCTGCAGAAGCATAACTTCTAACACTATGGGAAAAAGAATTTAAAAAGAGGGCTACAGTTCCTTTACACCCGAAATAACGGCAGACTCAGTTCACCGGCTATCCAGGTTGGTGACCTCCTTTCTCAATACCCTTTGAGAAACTGGAAGGAAGCCTGAAAGTATGCTTATTTTCATTGTGAAGTGATCCTGTAAATAGATGTCAGGAAAATAAAACAGTTCTGCAGAGGTTTGATGGTTGGTTGCATTCTTTTTTTGAGGATACATACAAAAGTTGATGAGAAAACTCCTCAAACTCTTAACCTACCCTGTGTTTAAGAATCACAGTATTTTTATTTTATTCCAAGTCGAATTTATTTTTAAACACACTAAGGATAGAGAGAAGGAAAAAAAAAAACAACTAGAGGAGAAAGCCATAAAAAGTAATACTGTGACACAATCTAACAAGTTTTACAGTAACACCTAATTGCAATATAAATAACACTATCATACCTTCTATCCCGCTGCTGTTCGCTATGGCTAGAGGTCCGAGAAGCTATTTAAAGAAAAGAAACAAAAGTTTTGAAGATGTTAAAATATACTGTCACTGCCAAAAGATAAGGAAAGTAGTATAGCCCTTACCACTCCACCATCAATGAAATGGAGAACATATAGCACCTGATCATAATTTCCAGATTTTAAGAGTGGCCAAGTAAAAAAAAAAATTATTTGTATTAAATATGAGGAGAAGCTTTAACAAGGTTTAGGGTGCAGTTTCATAATCCGTTTAAGTCAATCTATGTCCAAGTTTCCACCAAGAAAGATGGTCTTGTCCCCTTTCTTCTTCTTCACCAGACATTCCTACATTCTGCACTGTGGTGACCGTAGGGTTGAAACTTCTTTTTCCTTTTCTTTATTTAAAACAATCCATGAATTAAACAAAAAGAAGTGTTAAACATGTCTGGCTTTGCTTTCAATGGCTCATTTCTGAGACGTGTTCTTTAATCTTTTTTTTAGTGTTTCTTTGTGTTTCTTTTAGAGAAGGGAAAAGTACTACGGCACAAAATCTAAGAAGATATTTTACCCTCCTTTACATAAAAATAAATAATTAAATGTTACCAGTTAGAAATTTCCTAAAGTTTAATCACTTGTGGATTAGAAGTCAGCAACATTTCTTTTTTTTTTTTTTCCAAGCCATGTGTTTTAAGCTACATAAAATAAGTGAATCCTGACCTCTTCATTTTTCTATTTTTTCCATACTTATATTCAAATAATTTTTTTCAATGGCCACATTATACTTTCATGATGATTTCTTTAGAGAGAAAAGAAAATTATCCGAGGGACAATTTTTTGCACAGCAAGTGCGATTTAAGAAGTGGTAGAGTCTTATTGTTCAAAAGCTGACAATTACGCTATTCCCGTGCCACCACAGAATTATTAGCTGAAATCGGCAAAGCACGCTTGATTCAAGAGTCTGCATAGTGTTGTGTCAGACATACCTCTTCGACATGGCATTTTTGATGTGCACTATTCATGAATGCTAGAGGAAAAAAAGAAGGGGTTATAGAAGAGGAAGAGGAGATGCAGGAGAACAAACCAAGGCTTCAGAGTGCCAGAAAGCATGACCAAATGGGTTAGTCACGCAAGGACAGCACACGTGCCAGTGTTGTAAGAGGACAACTGTAACGTCTTTTCACAATATGGTCTCAAAAAACTAAAATAAAAGCAGATTTTATTTCTTGTCTCATGCTGAGTTTAACAATGTCTGTTTAGAAGTTTCCTTTGCAACAAATTAACCACGAGGAATATAACTGAATATGGAAACGTCCACTGAGTTACTCAACAAAGAGCCACTGCAAGAATGAGGAGAGGGAAGTCAAATCTCTCTGAATGCTTTATATAGTTTAAAAGCATGGTTTATTTGGGTCTGCGCTTTTTTCCCCTTTCAAAAATAATGGGTTACACTGAGGAGCTGATACAGATGCAAAGAAGCTGGGATCCCATAATTTATATTCCCACCTACCAAAGAGGTACGGGCAGGCAGGCAGGTTGATTCCAGTAAGAGGCACACCTCAAAGTTTCAGGCATGACTGCACAACTCCTAACCCAGTTCTGTAAAAATTGTTTCACAAAAATAAGTAAATGAAAATCCCCTACACCTCACCTTCACTTTCTTCTTCAGAGATCTTAACACAGCATTGATCCAATACACACATTAAAGATAGAAAGACAAACTGACCCAAACCAACCAATTCCAAGATTATTTTTGCAAAAAGGATGGAAGAAAGTGTTCATTTGTTAAATGTATTCAACACAGCTGCCTGAGGTATAGACAAATTACAATGATAATTGTAATTTATTACAATTAGAAATAAAAGCTAATTAATGAGGAGTGTAAAACTGAATTATAAACCTGTCAATTTCTTTCATTCTTTCTTAATTTCTAGATAAATTCTACATGCTGCTTTCTCCTGTGAGACTTTAAATGTACTTCTATTTATTAATGTTCTTAAAACAAATAAAAACCTACAAAAAGTATGAAAGACCTTTTTCCTTTCTTAACATAGGCAAAAAACCTCCAGTGAGGCATCTGTATAATCCATCAAACTCCAAATTTCAAGTAAACTCACTTGAAAACAATGCATTTAAAATATTTATATAAAAATAATTTTACTTACTAGTAGACACAAATAGTCTCTCCAAAAGGGCTAATATCTAAGCCATCATATATGTTTTCAGAATATGCTCATTCTGCTTGAAAAAAATATAAATCTCACAG